ATTCGTAATTGAAGATCTTTGCGAAAATAAATCTAGATTTTAAGTTTCGTAATTCCCAAATAATTGAGTCATAAGAAACCGTTTTTCACACCTTGAATTTCTGCATCTCTACGCCGTAAATCTTTATACAACGCGTCGATTTCGGCATCTTTTGTCGCGATCTAGCACGAAACAATAATAATCAAATAAAACTGTGATGAGGTAAGTTCTGTGCTTACATGAAAATAATGAAGACACAGCATCGAATCTCATCTTTTTCATTTTTTTTAATTTACCTTTTTACGATAAGCATCACGAATTATTCGAATACCTGTCTCAAATTCTTGTTCGGTTGTTAACGAGGCCGAAGAAATATTAGCACCAAGTGGTGATTGTGAGTGTGGCGCAGCAATCGTGGAAGGGTTGATGGGATAATTCGACATTTATCTCTTTTTTAGGGGAAACGAGATATGTGTAAATAATAAGTTTTCTCTTGGATAATGTCAAATAAATGATGACTTTTGAAGGTAAAACTTAGCAGATTTGATTGATTGCAAGATTGATTGATCAAGCGATTTTAATTTTACGCGCTATCTTAAACAAAAAATTAATTTTGTGTGCTGATTCCCTCCACTAGAAAAATTCGATCATAATTCTCTGCATATTCCAAATAGAAAATCTCATCGAAAATGTATTTTATGCATATTCTAATGAATGCATTTTTTGAAATTTTGACAGGTTTATTATGTATCTTGATATTAAATTAGCAGAATTTCTCCAAATTATGTATTTCGTGCATATTTTTGATAAAAATTAGCAACGTTTCATCAATTTCTTTCATGTATTTTGTGCATAATCACTTTATAGGCACATTCCCTCTAAATAGGATTAACTTATATGTGGTATGCATGTAAGGAATTATGCATTAGAGGTCATAAGAATATATGGATCGTATTTAGACAAGTGCGAAGGTATTTTTGATCAAATGCAGCGAGTATCAAATAAAAAACTATCGCCAAAGAATTCATATCTTCAGTTAGAAAGGTCAAAATAAAATACAGTCCAATCCTAAAAGAATCAGGTGGGAAATAGAAAAAGCTGACTCCTTTTAAAATGCTGTATTATATGCATATGGGCGGATTCGAATTCCAGAAACGATTCAACTCCAGCCAAAAAAAATTTACCAAAACCGGGAGTCAATCAGCCTTGTATGGTTATTACGTTAGTTAATTTTGCACACACCAACAGATTTTAGTAAAAAATGTTCTCGCTTGACTGTATTTCATGCATATTTATTTTTAAGGTAGGGTTTTGTACATAACCTATCAAGATTATTGTAAGAAAGCGGTCATTAAATGATATTCGTTATAACGAATTTATGCATATTTTTTAAAAGTAAAATTTCATCATATACATGTACATGTACATGCATTTAAATATGCACGAACCATTAGTTTTTTTTTTATATCATGCTGAGTAGTTTCATGCCAAAACCCCTCATATTTTTTCCGTTGCCTCAATAATCGTGTGGAAAGTAAAGAGAAAATGAAAATCTCTCCGATTAGGAAAACAAAAACTGGTATTTGACAGCTGTTTTTTGACTACGCATGAAAGATCCTAACTTTTTTTGAATTTATATTGCAAATAATGGACGGTATTGTAAATGAAAATTTGGGCGTAAAGGATTTTTCTTTGTGTATTCAAAAGAGACATATACTAATTACTATATGCAACACAAAAACGTAATTTTCAGATGTTGGACAAGTTTTCTATTTTTTTCCACGAGAGATTCATAATAGTGAATTTGAATTGACGACTTATTATATAATGATCGTAAATAAGGAAATTTATATTAAATTGATTTGTTACTGTGTTCAATATGTACGTCATCGAGAACAACCATTCATTTCTTCTACAGATGGATGGATGGATGGTGCGTTTGATGTTAATCTTCTCGTTTCTTCATTTTATTATTTTATTATGGAATTTTACATGTGCACTAGGAGTCATTGAAAAAGACGACGCCAAGTTACAAAAAGTTGTCGATGACGCCCAAGTTTCGAAATTGGGATGATTAAAAAGAAAACACCAACCAAAGCTATCATGATAACTGAAAAAAAAAACGCCCATCAAGGAAAGATTTTGTTATCGTTTATCGCGTTATACTACGTGTGTGTAACACGGATTCTCGCAGTGGTGTATTATAATATGTTATTAATGTCATGTATTTAATATGCAGGCGTGGGTGTAACGTCACAACAAACCCATTTTATTACGAGAATGAGTAAGAAAAAAAAAGGTTTGTTCAGATGACACCTTTTCGAAATTCATATACATGTGTATTTTTCAAAATTTATAAACTCTCTATACATTACATAATAATAATAATTCATGTTTAATGAAACAAACAATGAATGCCATACAACCACACACAGCATTCGTTCGATCTGTCTCACTTTAGCTATATCCCTCTCTTTTTGAATCTTTTTCTCGGCAATACATGTACATGTACATATTATTCGAATGATTTACGTATCTAACGCCACACTTAATCATCAACTGCAGTCCACCAAAATAATTTAACTATATAAACAACCATCTTTCTTTGGAGAGAAAAAAAGAAGATAACGACCCAATTTTTTTCTTGTTGTAAATAATTACTTTGTGTGCTGTTTCTTTCGGAATCTTGTAAATATCATCATCCTATCATTCATAATTACTATTTATTAATATCAATAAGGCAGAGCCTCACCATACACAACAGTCACCATTTAATCAAAATATTTATGGTCATTAGTAATGTTTGTTTGACACCAACAACATAAATAAAAAATACAATCAATCAGATCAATCAATTTCCCCTTTCAACTTGCATTGTTTTTAGTAACGGTCTGTGGTGATAACTTTCTTGCAGCTATTGATTATTATATAGTTACTAGCATCACACGTTTCATTCTCCGTGCGTGTGAATTAATAATACTATTTTTTATCTGTATATATATACATATTAATATATTCCTTATTTTTTACGCCATTACCACATTTTTGATGATATTCATAGTTGAGACTTTTGTGGAAAAGCCAACTATTAAATATATAAAACTATAAAGAACTAGTTATATATTTATTATAATATTATCATTTTACTCCTCTTTTTTCTTCTCTCAAATTTTATTCAACAATCTTGAGATTATTTTTTTATTGACTGAAAAAAAAAGCAAAAAAAGTTTATATCGAAAAATCAACCAAGTTAGATAATTAGAAATAAAAAATGTCTGTTCGACCACAACTACACATTACAGTAGTTCGCCATGGCGAAACAAATTCAAACTTGAATCATATATTACAGGGTCATTTAGGTATTTTTTCTTTTACATATACATATATATAGAATGAATGGATTTTTACCCTTAGCTTGCATTAGGGAAGATAAATGCTAATAAATGATAATGTACTTTTTTATTTAAAGATACCAAATTAAACAAAGTTGGTCGTGAGCAAGCAGATTTGGTCGGAAAACGACTGCGAAAAATGAAATTTGATCATATTTATTCGAGTGATTTATCGAGGGCAAAAAAGGTAATACGTTGGTCGATCAAGTCACATGATATACATATATATATATATGATGAGGTCATCTAATGCGATGTTTTTTTCATTAGACTGCAGAGGCTATAGCGAAACATCATCCAAACACACCTTTCTCAGTTGATATGAGATTACGTGAAAAGGTAGCTATTTTTTTCTATCATTCATTATTCTTCATAATAGAATCAATCAATTTTTATTTAATCTTTCTCTTATCCAAATTTAGGATATAGGCAGGCTAAGCGGTCTTTCAATATACGAAGCACTCGATTTAATAAAAAACGAAGGATCACAATGGGAAGATTACGGTGAATCCGACGAGGACTTCACCGACAATATCCTATCATTCTTTGATGAAATAATTGATAAACACCTACCAGACACTCAAGGTCCCGAGTCGATTGAACACCCGAAAAAGAATACACACATACTACTAGTGACACACGGTGGCACGATCAATAAACTCGTGCGTGAGCATATGATACACGATCTCGGTTTCTTGGTGAATGATTATTTAAGTATAAGACATAAGGCTAAGAATACGAGTGTTACAAAGATTGTGGTGCGTCGCAAAATTACTGATGATGTTGGGAGTAGGAGCGTTAGCAGAAGAGGTAGTGGTGTTAGCAGTAGCGATGGCGCTACAACTCCATCTTCTGAAGCTTCAACTATTGAGATTGTGAGAGGCGTTCAACGAAAACCTCGATTAGAGGGTGATATCAATATGTGGAGTTGTGTGGCTCACCTGGCGAAGCTTGGTAAACGGACACGTGGCGATTCTTCAATTGATGATTATGTGCATTAATATCCCCCGTCGATTAATCTCCATCTCATACTTTCCTCCTCCTCTTTTTTCATTATTTATTTTTCTTTCCTACCTTTCCTACACACATTTAATAACCAGATTTGATAAATCATAAATTATTTGTCTTACAAATTCACAAAATGTATAAATAATTCATAAACAACAACATCATCATCAAAAACAAATACAAAATAGACATAGAGAAGTAATAAAATTAACTTGACTAGCATAGAATTTCGATGGGTTAATATACAAGAGTACTTGATAACGTGAAAAATTAACAGATCTGTTGGTAATGAGTGGAATTAGTTATGCTGACTGACTTTCTGTTCGGATTTCTAACAGATTTTTGTGTTTTTTACCAGTTATCGTTATAAATGAATCACACGCATTACATTAATAATGAAATGAGTGTAATATTTGAACCCTTTATATTTATTTCTTTTGTCCAACATTTTATGATACGAGAGAGCAAAAACGTTGAAAGTGTGTTAAGTAGTTATTTTTAATAGATTAATATTGGTGTTGTAGTAGAATACTTAAATATACAGCGAGATGTAATAATAATAATAATAATAATAATAATCTCGTTTTTATCGCTTTGAAAATTTTTTTCTAGTTAATCAAAAGTTAAAAGGAAAATTTCGAAATCGATAGTGATACTTTTGCTAATTCATATTTTCATCTTATCGAAATCATGTTTATATTTGATCTCTGAAACTTTTATTTCATACCCTTCATTCAGTGAAACATTTTTTGACAATAAGTATTATTAATACAATTTTTTTCACAGTTCTATATTAAAATGAAGCATTTGAATTTTCAAGAACATAAATGACAAATACAAAATTCTTGAATGGTGATCGAATTTTGCCAAAATTAGCATACTGACAAGTAATTGCTATATACTATTAATATAGTATTATGAATCAAAATGGTATCTAATAAAGCTTGCAAAGTTAATAATGAAAATGCTGTTGATAATTTGATGGTTGGAAAGCAGCACGAACTTTGTTGCAAAGGTAACAGTATTAGTAATTTAGTAAAAGTATATAGAATTTGTATTTAATTTCTTGAATAGTAAAACATACTTGCAATTTATAATAATTAGATATAGAATCTTTTAATTAGTTATTATTATTATTTTCTTGCTATTGCTGAGTTGAATTTTTTTCATTTTCTTCAAATTTAATTGATATATTATTAATGAGTGCTGTTTAATAATACTGATAATTAAAAAAGTAAATATAACTAAGTTGTTATACTGGATTGCAACTCATTTTTTATAGCTGTAATTAGAATTGTAACTCTTAATTATAGTTGTGACAGATATCTTTAATATTATTATTATTAGATGGTTAAGATAATAAGACTATTGAGAGATTATTAAACTATTTATTGCTTATTTCAGATATATTTATATATATCTTAAATATTAATTTGTCTTAAATATTTTCTGAAATAACTCAAGATATTGATTAAATATCTTATTTAAATATATAATTCAATTATTACATAATTTTTAAATTATTGTTAAATATAGAAATATGATAATAATATTATAATATTAATATATATATAATTTATATTTCTTAAATAAAAATTTGCTAATTATTTTTTAGTATAATTTAATATAAAAAGATTTGTATCTTAATATAAAAATTAATAATTATTTTTAATAAAAATCATTTAAATTTTAATAATTTTTATAATTTTTTATATTAAATAAAAAATAATCTAAATTAACTTTTTATATTATTTTAATTTAATAATAAATAAAGTAATACTTTTCTAAAAATAACTAAAATAAAATTATTTTTTTTAAAAAAAAAGATATTTAAATATTATTATTATTAATTTGTAATATTAGAACTTTAATTTATGCAAGCAGATTATCTTAGATTTAATAAATATATATTTTAAATTTTATAAAAATTAAATTAATAATTATAAAAAAATTAAGATTCAAAATTTAGTAATTAAATTATTTATTATATAATTTTTATTTATTAATAAAAACTTTTATAAAAGATATATAATAAAAATTTCTTATATTTAAATAAATTCTAATATCTAATAACTTAATTAAATAAGACAGAATTAAAATTTTATTTTAAAAAAATATTTTATTAATATTTATTTAAGATATAAATTTTTTTAAACTAAATTAGATTTGACTATTAATAATAATTAAATTTTATATAAAATAATAAAGTCAAGAAAATTAATATTAAAAATAATAAAATTTAAGAAAAAATTAATAATAATAATAAAATTTAAAATAAATAAGATATTATTTTTATCTATTCATAAAACTAATCATCTTTATTATACTTATAGTATTCAGTTAATAAATGATTATTAATATAAAAATATTTATCTAGATCAGTAATTTCATTTCTCTTTAATTCTTTAAATATTAAATAAAAGAATTTTCCTTTACTAAGTTAAGTATAATATTTTTTTACTTATAAATCTAATATTATTATTTATTTATCAAGACTTTCTTGAATATTTAGAAGTAATTGATTAATATCATTATCTTTTTTATATTCATCTTCACTTTCTTCTTCATTAAAAACTTTTTTTCTTTAAATTTATTAGTTAAATCAAAATTTTATTAATCTCTTTTTGAATTATCAAGTTCTTTATAAGTTAATACTAACTGAATTTTTATAATTTTTACTAAAAATAACTTCTTAACTATTATAATATAATAATAAATAAGTATTATTTAATTATAACTAGTTACAACTTATAAAATTTTGGTATTATAATATATTATAATAGATAATAAATAAATATTATATACTTATTATATCATTTTTAATTTTTACTAATAGTAAGAATATTACTTGAGTTATTTTTTTATCAGATTATATGTTATATAATTAACTAGAATTATTATAAATTAATATTTTAATATTTTCAGTATATTTAGTATCTATAGTATTAGCTTTTACTTCTATTTTTTTATGAGCTAAAGAAGATCTAGAAATAAATTAATAAAATATTTCTTTTGATATCTTAATTATAATATATAAATCTATTATTATAATTTTTTGTAATAGATTTTTTAATTCTGAATATCTTAGATTAAAGTTAGCATCTATTTCATAAGTATATTTTAATACTTTTTTTTATCATTATTATTAAAGACTTTAAGTTTTACTTTTTTATTAATATTATATAGAATATTTTCTTCTTTAATTTTATAATACTTTTCTAAATAAATAATAAGTATTTTAATTTGACTTTTTTAATTTTTAACTGTAATAGATTTTTAATTCAGCTTATAATTATTTTATGAGCATAAATCTAATTATTTTCTAGTATAAGATTATAATTATTATTTACAATTACTAATACTTTAATCTTAATTAATTCAGTTTTTAAAATAATTAATAAGTCAATTACTTTTTCAAGCACTTTTTTTTACTATTAATACCAATTAGATTTATTATACTAGATTTTTGAACTTTCTAATCTATCTTCTTCAAGAATTATTAAATAATTATATTACTTATAGCATTATTATTAATTATTATTTTGCAAGATTGATTATTGATAAGTCTATTCATATATATAGTATCTATAAATATTTATTAATTTTGTTAATTTTCTTTTTATTTTCTAATAATAATTTCTTGAGTTGATCATTATTAATTGAAGATTTTTTAGTTATGAATACACTTTTATTTTTCAAAAATATATTTAAGAGTTTAAATATTCTTTAGTATTCAAATAAGTATTTTATTTATTTATTTATTTATTATTATTATTATTATTATTATTATTATTATTATTATTATTTCTTCTATTATTATTATTATTATTATTATTATTATTATTATTATTATTATTATTATTATTATTATTATTATTATTATTA